CTATGACTATGGTTATTAACTTATCCAATATATATTTATAGGATATTGTTGAGTTTATCTTTAAAATAATCTTGAATCAAGTCTTAGCAAAATAAGAAGTAATTAGTTAAATTAATGAAAGAGGTGGAGATCATTCTTCATTTTAACCATATTTTTATTATAAGAAGTTATTTTGCTGTGAGATTCTAAATATTTATACCAGAACAAACAAATATCTTTGAAAACGAATAAAGATGGAGTAAAAGGTGCCTTGGGTAGGATACATTGCATACAGAAGATCTCAATCGAATTGAAAGACACTAATATGTATACACTTTTAGTAAAGGATTATATCTAATGGCTTAAGGTCAAATTATAGAGCGCCTTTAAAGTGAATAGATGCAATGGGGAAAATTAGAAAAGAAAATGTCGTCATATTTAAGTCAATTGGCCAATAGATGACTCCATCCAGCACTTATAATTAAATAAAATTTAGCTGAAAAATAGGGCGATCCATCAGAAACAAGTTACTTTTCTTGTATACGTATATATATATATATATATAACCCACCTGGATCCCGCCCGTCACAATAAGAGTGTTGCCTACCACTGCTGCAGAGAACCAGATAAGACTGTCGAGTGGCATTGAGGCGCACGCCTGCCAAGATAACTTGGCTGGCGACAAGGCCTGGACACCAGTAAGAATACAGGTATCATCTAGGCCACCCAAAACAACGAGTGTCTCTCGGCGAAGAGTAGCCGGCCTGGGAGGACAGACGTGAGGCAGAGCGTCAGGACAATGATGCCAAGAGGCTGGATCAGCAGCAGAGAGAGAACAGACAGATAGGTGTGGAAAGGAGGAAACAGGAGTTGCACCAGCTCCCGAGTTAAGAGGAGTAGTCAAAATGCATGTTGATGAATTGGAAGAAAGAAGATCAGGCGACAACTCGGAAAAGCGTGAAAGAGGTGATGAGCAAGGGAAGTCAGAAGATAGTATGGTAAGAGATTTATCCAAGTGCGTCGATGACTTAGACAAGCTGAGTGGGGATTGTGAACAGATGCCATTTGATTTTGCATGTCTCAGGAATCGTTTTATGTACGCACAGGCCTCTGGCGATTCCTATTAGGAAAGGATAGCCAAGTAATATTAAGGGATTGTACGAAGCAGGAAAGCAAAACAAAAAGACAAAATAAAGGTCAAATTTAAAATGGCATATAGGAGCAGTATGATTAGAATTAGCAAGTAAAAATAAGAGGAATATTTTCCTAACTCTGAATGAGGATGGCAAGATGAACAATGCAAAGCCTCAGTGGCCTTGAAAGTAAAATAGAAACGAGTGATTGCCTCAATCAAACAGATGCATGTAGCTTCCTAATTAAAAAGAATTCAATAAAAATGCTTAACCGAATCGTAGTAAGCAATTAGTAGATAGGTGAATGAGGGACTGAAAATTCGTCTGTACACAATTAGTTGGGAGGGACAAGACTTATTTTCGGAATTTGAATTATTTGCAGATTAAATTCTAAAAAAGACTTCTCACCCGTGATATACGGCCGCCTTAACCTTGTATGGACCTCATCCTCACTCTTAGTGTTGTCTTTGAACCTTGTCGTTAATGACCTATCCGAGGTCGAGAAAGCAGGATTAAGACGCACTTTCAAAAAAAGTGATATTCAATGATAAAATCAAGTCTTGTAGATGAGCAAGCAGATTTTTGAAGATAATTTGGGTTTCAATGAATCTCTTGGTTCAGATTTGTTGAGCCCACTTCTATCTCGAGTGAAAGTGCGTGATAAAGAGATTCGAAGGTCGATCCCACCAGAAGACGACAGCATATTCCTCTTGTTCAGCTATGAGTTGGCTTTACTGGAACATTCTTGTTGACGCTGTACACAAGGCAATCTCCTTCGATCCTGGCGAAAACGTGCTAAGCTCTCATCTGTCATAGGAATTTGTTAAATTATTAGATCAGCAAAATTTTAAAGAGGACCTTTTGATAAGTTTCGACGTGGTAACAATGTATATCGGGACTGCAGATCAGGGAACTATTTAAACATTAGCATTTAGTCTAGAAGAACACGAAAATATAAATGAGAGAGTAAAGTTAAGCAAATGTTGAGTCTTAAGATTACTTGGGTACGTAGAAAAACTGGATTTCGAACAATAGCTTAGTAAATTGATGTTGGAGTACCTTTCATTTCGTTTGAAGAGGCGAATGGAAGAGATTCGTAAGTTCGTTCCATTGGAAACTGTAGGGGGATCACCATAGAGTTGTGAATGTAGATTTGTGCGAATAGGTCCTCGGCACACCGCCCTGCGACCGCGATAAAATCTAGCCGAGTTTATCTCCGTCATATGACGGACATCGTCGGAGCAGGAGACCATGCTTAACGATAATTCACCAAAAACACGAAGGCAAGATAGGTGGCCGGCTACAAACTTGCCTAATTCTTATAGTCCTATTTGGAACACTTGATGAGTCATCTCATGTTTTGGTTGTATATCCTATGCGAAGAAAAGTTGGGTTTCGAGGAATCTCTTGATTCCTGATTGCTGAGCTTTATTCTATTTCGAGTTAATTTTGGGCGAAGAGATTCGAATGCCTGTTCCACCAGAAGACGACGGCGGATTCCTCTTGACCACCCGTCGATTGACGTTACTGAAAGATTCATGCTGACACTGTTTCCGAAGTAGTCTTCTTCGATTTCGGTGAATAGGTGCTAAGCTTTCGTCCGACATATAACGAACGTCATCAGAACAAGCTATCATCGTCACAACAAAATTCAAGCTGACGAGTCAAGAAAACTCACCGGTAAATCCCTAAAAAGTGGCATATATACTCTACATCTGTCCCCTGATCAGGTATAAAGTGATTTGGTTAGTTAAGGTCATATGTCAACTTCGATGCATGTGAGTGTTTCTGTCTGTGTATGTGTGAGCTTATGCACGAAACCCGAAGTGATGGCTCAAAGTAATTAGGACAGCAAAAAGGAACGTCTGTTTTTGGCGCCATCAAGGGTTTGGTGACTCCTATCTCCCCCTTTCTACATACATGTTATAACCTTCACTCCGATTGCGCAAGGTCGGACACTCGTCTGGTTTGGTTGATGATCCTATTTTTTGTTTTTGGTCTTAATGCGAGAGAAAAAGTGAGCTGAAAGTACAGAGAAGTGACTATGATTAGAACCAAGATAAGAAAAGACTAGTTGCGTCGCCTCCTTTTTGGAGGCGGCTCAACTCCCTCTCTATCCTTCAGTCTATTAATTAAGCTAAAGTAATTTTTACTTATCTTCTTACCAGTA